GACTCCTGGATTGTGGGACCTGGCTAGGATCAGGCAACAATGGCTGCCTTGTGGGCCTTGATGCCTAGGTATCATAATCTTGTTCCTTGTCACGCACAATATATAACCTGAGGACGATATATATAATCTGTTGGATGCAAGATAAATGTACAGCTACCGATTTGCAAGCAAAATGGATGACCAATTACCCCCGGATCAGAAAGCGCGCCTGCACGAGGTTGCCGACCTCATGCTGGAAATCTACCAGATCCTTGCCCAGATGCGCTATCTCGACCCAGCTGGAATCGAACAGGGTCCGCATAATATCGACCATCTGCGCCCGTTGTATGAAAAGGTGAAAATTGATCCCGCCATCATTTACCTCTACAGCATCCTGCCCTATGTGAACACTCATATTGCCGGTAACATGGATTTCTTCCACGGTGGCGCATTCACAGATTTCCGCCGCGAGGAGGACGTGACGCAGGGTCGGGATCCATTTTACGGCTGTCCTGTCGGCGACGACTATGACGATGAGAATGGGCCGTATATTCGGCCGTGGGTAACCCCGTTGTCGCAGCTGGGGAATCACCAGAGCGTGATCATTTACGATGCGCGTCGGCATCGGATCTGGATTATCGACCAGGAGGGGTGGAACACTACTGATCCGGCGCTGGCAGACAGACCAGTCACTTACTCCACGTACTCCGATGATTCAGATAAAGATGAAAAGCGACCAATCACGAAAAGCAAGAACCGCAATGACATCGAGCATATACCCGACCGTCGCGCTGGGGATGTTCTGCGCGATATTATCCGCTGGTATCGTTCACTAGACGAGCTACCTGGTGGCGAGCATTGCGCAGGTGAATGGAGCGGGGATGACATACCCCTAAAAGAGTTGTACCGCGCGTATGGCTGGCCGGATAATCTTGACGGGGACGGCTTTCAGATTGCTCAAGCGAGGGCGCATTGTGCCTCTAGCGCCAAGTACGCCGCTGAAGAACCACTGCGATGCGTGGAGAACTTCAAGCTCTGGAGGAAGCATGCGGAGGGCCGCATTTCGGTACATCAAGCTGAACTTGCGGCGGCCAAGTCTACGGATGACGAGTGGGCGGCGCGTTTCAAGCTGTGGAGGGAAGAGCTATGGTCTGCGAGGAACATTGAGGATCTCACCAAGGCTGAACAAGAAGCGGCAAGGCTGTGTCCGGGAGGAGTATGTCAGAGGAAGGAGGATCTCCCTCTCTGGGAGCTGGAGAGGCTTCGGCAGGAGTACAAGTGGAAGCGGGAGAGTGTGGAAGCGTACCAGAACTGGGCGAACGAGTCTGTCGATACTGACCCCGACCGTGCGCAACATTATCAGATCAGCCTGCAGCAGGCAAAGCGGGAAGCTGCTATCTATCAAAAGGCGTACGAGGCGGCCTGAGCGGACGCAGAACGGCTTTGTCCAGGGAGGACCTTTCAGTCCGCTACCGGAATTGCCTCCCTCGGCAGAATGGATACAGTCACTAGTATTCGGGAGCGGAAAGATACTATGGTCATGATGCGACGCGAACTAGAAGCGCTCAGAGAGTGGGCCCTACAGTTACCAGACGGCGCTATACAGGCCAAAAAGCTTGTGGAGGAGGAGGTCGAAAGGTACGAACGGGGAATCAAAGACGGGAAGGAAATGCTACAGCGGTATGAAGCATCTTTAGCAGAGCACGGTAATCAAGATTGATGGAGTTGGATACATGAGATGAACGCATATCTATACCACTTTGGTAGATTAGCTGCAGTTTGTGCTACATACGGGAGACGATCTGCCGTTGCCGCAGCGATATCACATCCATGCAGATGCGGGGCTGAGCATAATCAACTCCTCCTGCTCTGGATCTCACTTCAATCTTTTACACTTTCATCCACCGTTCATCATGGCAAAACTTCATCTTCTAGCGATAGCATTTTCTCTGTTTGCGGCCGGCATCGAAACACCACATCGCCGAACATACCTCTATGTTGGAGGCAACTACAGCCTCAATAACGATGGAGAACACATCATCACCAACCAGATGTACGTCGAACGACTTACTCCTGTCGATGGCCCACTTAAACAGTACCCGATCGTGTTGATCCACGGAGCCGATCAAACAGCAACGGTACATCCTTCCTTGTCTGAAAGACTCACATAACTAACGCGACCAGAACTGGCTGAACAAACCCGACGGAGACGAAGGATGGGCGTCTTACTTTCTCTCCCAAGGCTACGAATGCTACTTGCTGGATCACACCTCCCGCGGCAGGAGTCCATGGGATGCCCGGGACGGACAGCTGAGGAAATACAGCGCCGAGCATCTGCAGAAGTATTTTACTGCCACGGCGAAATACAAACTCTGGCCACAGGCGAGTCTGCATACCCAGTGGCCCGGAACGGGTGTTATAGGCGATGCCATATTCGATGCGTATTACGCATCTACCGTTCCTTCGCTCGCAGAAAACGCTGCTCAAGAGTCCTCCATGCAACCTGCTGGCGCCGCATTGCTAGACGCCATCGGCAAGCCGGTGATACTGGTGGCTCATTCCCAGGGCGGAGCGATGGCTTGGGTTATCGCAGACAGGAAACCGGACCTGGTGCATTCCATCGTATCAATTGAACCGTCCGGTCCGCCATTCCAGAATGCAGTTTTTGGGAGTGGACCAGCCCGTCCGTACGGATTGACTGATATACCGCTCACTTATTCTCCTGCGGTGACTGAGCCAGATGCGGACTTTGTTAAACAGACGATCACATCCAACTCCAGTGGCACGTCAGATTGTATGATTCAAGCAGATGACCCTCCGCCTCGACGGCTCGTCAACCTGTCGAAAATTCGGACCTTGGTCGTTACAAGTGAAGCATCCTATCATGCCACGCACGACTGGTGCACGGCTCGTTTTCTGCAACAAGCCGGAGTTCCAACCAAGCACCTGCAACTAGAGGAGGTCGGCATTCATGGCAACGGACATATGATGTTCCTGGAGAAGAACAGCCACCAAGTGGTCAGAGCGATACACAACTGGATCGAGGATCCAATCTCCTCATGATATAGCTTCTATATGCAGTCTGCCAGTCAATGCACATCCTTAACTATCAATTCCGGCCGATCCACCCTCCTCGCCCACTCCATCCAACTCCCATCGTAGATCCGCCTTAGATTCCGAAAGCCCGTCTCGCCGAGCGCCAAATCCAGCGCTGCAGCCGTGACCCCCGAATTGCACGTCAACACCAACGGCACCCGCCCATCCACCCCCGCCCCCTCCAACACCTCTTTCAGCTTCTCCACCGGCAAAAACGTACTCGACCCTTCCTCCAGCATCGCCGCCAACGGCACATTAACCGCCCGCGGCATATGCCCCGAGCTCAACCCGGCCACTGCCTCGTCCTCCTCCCCGCTAAACCGCCCCGCAATCCGCGAGTCCACAATTTGAAACCCCTCCTCACGAGCCAAAAGTAGCTCCCTCAACTCCTCAAATGAAATCACCCGGTCGCTATCGACAGGGGTAACGTGATACTCAGACACAGACGGGAGGGGATGCATCTCCCCGCTCGCAACGGGGTATCCCTGGCTAACGTACACACGGAAATTATTCAGGACATACACGGCCTCGTGGCCGAAGAAGCGGAACATCCACGCGACGCGCGGCGAGCTGTAGATCCCCACGTCGACGGCGTCGTAGATGACCAGGACATCGTCCTTCCTGATGCCTAGGGCTGCTACGCAGGACGCGAAATGTGAAGCCGTGGGGAGCATCTGTGGATATGGCGAGGCGGTATCTCTGATGAGATCCATGTCGAAGAAGCTGTGCATGTTACTAAGTGATGGTGGTGGTGCTGGGTGGTTGAGGTGAGGACATACATGGAGTTGGGGATGTGCTGGGCATGATAGGCGGGGGTGTGGACTGTGCGCCGGCCGGCGGCTACAGGGATGATCCGCTGGGTGGTGGTGGGTGAGTTCACGGCAGCGTGGAAGTCGGCTGGGGAGACCAGGATGCTCGGGAAGAGGCCTGTCATGATGCTTTTGATTTTGTTTGGCATAAGTTTGATTTTCTGAGCTAGAGGACAAGATTAGATTTGTTGCAAAGTGTGGGAGGAGCGGGGATAATCAAGGATCCACTATCAATCACGCAATTTTCTCTAATTTAGTTGGGGATAGTTTATCCCGGACATAATCTAATTAAACCTAATGTTTAATTATCCTTCTATCAGAAACAATGTCCTCCAAGTCTCGATCAAGCACAGTAAAAATTGACATAGCAGTCCGGCTTGCCATCCACAAGATCACACTGATCAATCATTGCTAAGAAATCCTTGTTGGGACAATCGGCTTCACACGTCTTGGCACTGCCACAGGGGGCATCATCTGGTGATGTTAGCCACGAGTCAGGGAAGGGGAAGGGAATAATCACATTGAGCGAAAGCAACTGCTGCCAGCGCAAGAATGGTGAGGATGGGGCTGAATTGCATCTTGGGCTACGGAGTATCAGGGTCAGTTCACTGATGTTAGGAAGATGAGTGCTGACTTACATTGAGGACAGGAAGCTTGAATCTATACTCGATGATTGAAGAATGGTCAGTTCTGGGTTACAATCCAGCGGAATTTATACTTTGGCTCTGTGGCCTATTTCATTCGCGGACATGGCTGGTTTCCAATACCTTGCATCATGCGCATTCCGGAGAACACCCCTTGCATAGGTTGTGTAACACAGCATAGCAATCACTGGCTGCTTGTACTCGGCAAGGCCTCTCAGATCAAGGAACCAGATCAATAGTTCCTTTAATCACACCTAGTGCAGGAATTTCTTTTTGTGCGTGCCGCTTTTCCTTGTGCATATGATTATCTTAAAAACGCCGGCGACAGCCACCACTGCCACTGGTGATGGATGAATTGAGTAATGAGAAATGACTAATCTAATTTCAGTTTTGCGTTAAAATCGTACCATCTGACAACCACTCGACATTTACGTAGGTCAGATGCAACCAGGTGTGTCGAATCAGCCATGGATCACAGTGCAAAATACCAACCAGCTGCAGCCACGACCACCAACAATCCTGTATTGAGACTCGAGAAGCTATTCTTGTTTGCTCCCGAGGCGGATACTCTACCGGTAGGTGCTGGAGCCGCTGGAACGAAAGTCCTGGTTGGGGTAAAAATTGACACTGTGGGAAAACTTGTCGTCCTGCGAGACGAGGTTGAGGTCGAGGTTAAGGATGATGAATCCGTCTCAGTAGTCTCCGTCGCGGAATCAGAATCCGTTGACCTCGTTCGAGTGTTGCTCTCGGATTCCGTCGTGGAAGAAGCTGTCGTTGACTCTGTATCGGAATATGATGTCGTTGTGTGCTCCTCTGTGTGAGTGGTGTATTTCGAGGTAGTAGACACTTTCCCCTTCGTAGACGTGGATGAAGTTGTCGAATCGTGGTCTCCAGAACCGCCACCACCCCCAACATCGTCGTAGCTTCCACTGCATGTATGACCCCATTTACACTGTCCATGTCAGTACAAGTCCGACGTCAAGGTTGATACCAGACTTACACATCCGCCGGAGGAACACGCGTAGCCATACTCGCACTGCAACCATTAGCGCCATCCATGAGCAGCCACGAGAGAAAAACACACATAGAATCCATCACCGCAACACTCCGACAACATCGGCACACATCTCGTATCGCATTCCTTCTCGGTATACATTTCGCAACAATACGTCGGTCCATTGGACGGCTTCACATCGTTGTAGCAGAGCTGAGCGGCCGGACAGCAGGATCCATCCGAGCAGCAGGTAAAGTCGCAGCACTGGCCGGCGTCGCACATATGGGCACCAGGTAAGCACTTGTAGTACCGCGGGAGGAGATTATTGTCGTATGCTAGCGAGGTGGAGGCATTATTTGAAGGAGCGAAGCGGCCTTTCTGGAAGGGCTGGAGACTATCGCGTTTAACGCTGGATGCTGTGGTGGTAAGGGAGATGGCCGAGGCCAGCAGTAGAAAAGCAAACCGGGCCATATTTGTTGGTATGGATCTTAGGCGCAAAACTGGGGTAGATAGGAGCTTATATGTGTGTTGCGCTCTCCGGGTATGGGCTGGAGAGCACCTCGTATTCGGGGTCATTAAGGTTATTAAACAACTCTAGTTTCTTGGTTAAATGGATTGAGGAAGTCTCATTGGCCATTGACGGTGATCTCTTCTCAACCTGAGTCAGGCCGGGATATATCTCGTATTTACTAACGAATCGCACTGACACAATCTATCAGCATATCACAAGACTCTGTCCGCGCTTTGACTCTCGGCATTGCCAAGGCCGAGACTTATTCGCAAGACTGATATAGCTAGGTTCATGAGGACCGAGTCTTGGCAGTTGCGACGAACCGTTTACTAGGATTCGACGAGGATATATCCTGCAATGGTGCAGCTTGAAGGGTGAAGAAGCTGAAATTCCGACTGGAGTATGAAGCTTCCAGTCAACAAGGATTGAGGAAATCAAATATTGCTATACTACTTCTATACCCAAAAACAATGAAATGATATGAACAGAAAAGCGTCCCTGAGAATGAAAACAAATCTCCCACTAGCAAATTAGCGCCCGTCTCGCAGTACCCTCATGTGCAGGGCTTAAGAAACGTCCATCTGAAGAACCCCATCATAAGAACAGCTAATCTCAATCCCTGGCTGCGGGTCATTCACACAAATCCACTTGGTTCCAGGCGCGGCGCCATTCGCATTCGAACTCAGCAAGACATGGCCATCTTCAGGGATTGATCCACTGACCCTCTGAAGCTCCAGTGTGAACCAGTTGAAGTCGGGGGCGCCATTGGGAAACTTGATGTAATATTCGCCATTGTTGCAGCGGGCATTTGACTTAGGAAGGTCGCCATAGGTCCTAAGTGGCAAGAGAGGCGCCGGTTAGTCTGGTATTCTCGATGAGGGGCGTGGTCTTACCATATTAGGTTGCAGTCGGTGGGTGTGTCTTCTGGGTAGTTTGGATCGGTAACAACAAAGTGCATGAATGCGCCTGGGGACGAGGGACCAGCTTTAGCCCAGAGGTCGCTGATTTGGATATAGCTGTCGCGCTTGATATTGGTGGGAACGGCGAGAGCTGAGCTAGCAGCCAGGAGGATCGAGGCGGTGGTGAGCTTCATTGTGTAGATGCTATTAAACTTGGATGAGAGGAAGAGGATTTGATAAAGCTGACGATGATGGCAATGAGGAGTTAGTGTTGGGAAGGGAGGCGATATTTATATGTTGTACACCGCTACTGCGATTGAGTGCAAATCCTGTTGACTTGCAGGTATTCATAGTCAGCTAAGACATTAAGCCCAGGTGAAGCTTAGAGATTCTATAATTATCACGCTGTATATTACGGATCCTGTGGCTGAGAAGGCACGGATAGTATCGTTTCGGCGGGCTCAGTGTATATCAATGGCTCCGGTCCTTTCCAAGTGAGACACAGAATCAGGCGCACCAGCTGCTCGCCGACTGTATGGTGCTTACATGACTATATGTTGTCATTAGCGGTTGTGGCTGATGCTTCTTTCAGGCCCCCCGTACTCCACCCGCTCAGCGCTGACAGGCTATAGCTTGAGATCTGTAAATCATTGTTTTGAGTGCCCAAGCTAAGCTTAGATTTTGAGGCTTACTCATGTTTTCTGAGGCGCTTATTAGTTATTATTGGTGGGGGTGTCTTGATTTAGAAACCATGAGTAACCAGATCTTTGACAAGGACTGATAGCAGTACTGGACTCCAGTCACACCTTTGGGATCTCCTTGATCAAATTGTGAGTGGTCTATTTATCCTAAACAATTTATACGAAATTGCTGCTCAGTTGATATATTCTTCTATGTAGTCCATAGACGCTTCACGTGCATATTACAATTAAAGCTCGCAAATCCATAATAGACCACTTCATGACATGAATAGGACTGTGTGGGTAATGAACATTGAAAGTAAATTAGTCAGACAACAAATTACGCAGCAAGATGCCCATAGTGTTCCAATATCAAGTACTTCTGATCTCTTTGATTACCCCGCTTATGATATGTAATAACAAAAATGTCAATCTGGACGTGCAGATCGGCTTGCCTGGTATTAGTCGCCAGCCTAGCCGAATGAGCGATACAGGACAGGAGAGACACCTGACTACAGGCGGACAGTTCATGAAAAGCAATAAAGAACTTTGCGGCTTCATGCACTAACGTCCCTTAAGGCAGGCAATAGCAACGCTAAGATGACACCGAGATCAACCAGAGAAGGCCTCGGAAATAAAACTAAGACTTCACAGAGATGAGGTGGTCATGAGGAAAATCAAGGATGGGTTTAAAGGTTGGCATATATAAAAGCGCAAATGCACCTAGACAAGCTAGATATGCTTATAAGTTGAGAGTAGTCGCCCATGTTAACCTGCCAGTCTCACAGGGCACCATTTTCCTATCCCATTCAAATACGGCTGCAAGTAAAGCTGCCCGTTAAATCATTGAAATTAATGACAGAGCCAGAGGTAGATGTTATAGAGGCTAGGTTCCAGGAACCCCCCTGGACGATGCCTAGATTATCATAGCGACCATCATCGCAACCATAAAACCTTAATACTATCAGCAGGGGCATATCTAGCCAAGGCGGTTCATGGCATGTACATACCGGAAGAGCGTACACACGAAACCACTTGGGACTGTTACTGAGGAAGCCGTATGGTAACTATGCGAATGACGTAGACGGTATTAGTCATAAACGTCCTTTGCGTAGCTATGACTGTACACCCTTCCCCGGCTGGACAGAATACTTACAGGACGGCAAGGTTACCCGTGAAACTGACACAAGAATCAGGGGCGATCGGCAGGGTAGTGCAAGAACCGCGAAGGTTGAAATCTGTGCAAAAGACTATCTTCAATGGAAGGTTAATCATGCACTCATATCCATTTTTTTGGAAGTTGTAGTGCTTACTGAAGGTGCTGCTTGTGCAAGTGTGCCAAGCAGGGTGGTGAATGTGATAAATTGCGTGAGTTTAACCATTTTGGTCGTCTAGCTGCTACAAGTAGACAGGTTGGTATAGGGAAAAAGGATGAAGCAGTTTTGCAATCTACTACAATCCAAGTAGTAGATATGGAGGAATGGGCAGTATAGATCCACAGGCTTCCAGGAATGTAGAGGCAGGCTTTCTCAGTGGAAACGCCATGGTATATGTCTATTTATACCTTTCTGAGATGGTTTTACTCCTGCAAATTCATTCCCTCATAACAGATGAATTCAATTGCAAATTACGCTGCAGCACTCCTGGTCCTTTTCTCTGGGGATGCATTTGAATGATTGGAGTACTGACTCGGATCGAGTGGGCGAAATATACTACTAATTCTTAGTGGCAATTCCCTACATGCGCATGGAAACCAAGTCTAGTTAGAACTTGTAGCATGCCTGACGCTCTTGCTAATTAAAGGTGAGATGTCTGATCTCTATGCTGCAAAGTAAGCCCTACTGTACTCCAGAGTATGCGGGATGCCAACGTCGTTATTTGTACTCTAACTTTTGAGTCTTAGTATGGATATTCATATGGCTGTAAACCAGGTTGGTAGTCGATATCATGACTCTTCTACAGTTTTACCTCTTCTAGTGATCTTGAACACCTGCTGGCTCAGGCTGTAAAAAAAAATGCGCTATATGGGATTGCGGAACAACGGAGGATGGCTGGCTGGAAGACCTCTTGAGACTCTCAGCAACGCCACAGCTCCAGTGCAAGACTATGGCTAGATCTATTATCAAAAACACAAGCTAATACGGATAGACTGTGCCTATTTAGAGCTCTCCAGACCTCCAATAATCCATCTACGCTGGATTATTACAAAGTCAACTGATCACTCAATTGAAGGGCTAGTATCAGCACTGGCTGTAAAGGGATCCAGTTATAATGTAGCTCACTGTGTTTGTTGTGATAAGCTGCAGGTGTAGGAACCAGCCAGTTAGTTAGGTTTAAAATTACCTTTAGGGTAGTAATACATAAATTTAGGCCGCATTTATGGTATATTGTTTTCTAAGTCTAGTCACGCATTTCTGCAAGCTATATGAGATTTTCCGTCTGTACTCTATATTTAAGCCACTAATATCACCAGTATGATGGCTCTTGGAACCTCTAAACTCAAGTAGGTTAGGGTACTATGCGAAATTAGTGCACCCACCTGGCTCTGAGTTGGCAAATGGACTGTGACCCATCTACACGATACGATACAAACATCGCTTGGTGAGTGATGACAAGCGAAACTCTCGGATAACGACAGCCAATCGGCAGAATAAACCGCCATACTGTCAACAGCAGTAATCTACGGAGTAGTAAACAAGTGGCTCTTCACCGCTGCAATAGAAGTGGGGTGGTTCGTTGAGCATAGTGGAGCAGCGTTCGTTAGCATCTTCAGCGTGCCATTTCAGGTCAGCCATACTCGAGCATAGTCTTCTATGTCCAATGAGACGAGAGCGGTATGGATGTGTTTCCAGGTGGCAAGTTGCATTCTGGGCTCAAGCCACAGTGGTGACTGATCTTCTCTAACAATGTATCAAGAGCGTAGGAACATATTCCTCGCCTCGCCTTTAGAGAGAAAGCCCCATCCGCAGTTGCTCTTATCTTTGATTACAAGATTCCTATAGTAATTGCGACTTGTCTCTCAAAATTCGGTTAGGCAAATCCGAGCACATTATTGCTTTGGGGCATGGCACAGAAATCAACTTACATGGAAACAGTAGCCCCGTCAAACATTTCCTGCGTACAGATTGGAAGAGATCTCCTCGTCTTTAGCCGGGGCCAATTGTAAATACAGGCGGGGGTAAATGTGTAAATTTCTTCGGAGATACCCGCTTTGCCTTATGTACAGAATATGGTCCCGCTGGTGATTGAAGAATACGAGGCATACGGATTCCTCGGAGCTTGAAAATGCTAATGCACTATGCAAGATAATCTTCTGTATCTGCTTTTCGCTCCATCCGTACATCATTGTGGAAAGCATAGGTGAAACCAGGAAAAGTCTGCCTCAGTAACAGAAAGAGAAGATGCGTTAGACCGATCCCTCAAGAGCTGAATTTAATACCGACTGTGGCGGTGCTACAGGGCCTGAGCGAGCTTTTTTCTTGTCGTATTTGCATGGACGTATAGCTAGTCCAGCTCTGCAAACAGACACTCAGATAGCTTGTTTATTCAAAAACAAAACGACCAGAGCCATGTCATGGTAAAATTTCTTCCGTCAATGAGCAGAGTAGGATAGAGATCCCTCAGTGACTACAGGCTGTCATTCGGCCACTGAAACCAGAAAAAGCGATATTATATTAGGAAATCAGCAACATCTAGGCAATATTGAGCTTGTCGTATATCTAAGTTACTCGCCTCTTAAACTGAACCATTGGGCCATCCCTGACGCTGATGTACTTGTCCTTGACGTGGAAAATGTTTGGGTTCCTCTTCCCCCATCCTTGCGACTTGCTGCCAGCCCCAGTCAAGTCGCCTGGTAGTAACCGCGCGTCATACTGCCACAATGTGCTTGCAATTGTTATATAAAGTTCCAAAAGGGCAAAATTCTTCCCAGCACAGCCGGTAGTGCCAGCAGCGAATGGAAAGCAACTAGACCGGGCGCTGGCCACATCTTCTGTAGTTACTCCAGTCTCGTCATCCACTATCCAGCGTTCGGGACGATAGACATTAGGGTCTGGGAAGTACTCCTCATTGCGGTAAAAGCTCCAAGACGCCACTCCAACAGTTGTTCCTTCGGGGATATAGTCCCCATCAACTATGATGCCTCCAGGCAGCACAATCCGGGGCATCTCAGATGGCCCGGGAGGCATAATCCGCATCGCCTCATCCACACAAGCCCGAAGGTATTGGCAAGACGTCAGTTTCGGGCCGCCTCGAATCTCGTCGACGGAGGTAAAGGTGGATCTTATCTCATTAACGAGCTTCCGATAAGCACGAGGCGTCCGCACAATATAGAAAAAGAACCCGGCCATGATCACAGAAGTGGTATCAGAGCCCGCAATCGTGAGCATTAGTGCCTCGGCTTCCAGCGCTTCAGGGGTGTACCCCAAGCGACCGGTTGCTGGGTCTTTGGCATGTATCAGATAGTGAAGCATGTCTCCTCGGCCTTCCTGTCCCATCGATGGGGTTTCTTTCTCGACCTTGAGACGTTGCGCTAGCGACTGCTTCACAAAGTCATAGAGAAATTGAATGTGCGGAGGAGTCAGGGCTCCAAACACCCAATCGAGGCCTCTTGGCTTCAACCAGACGATAAGATCCAGCCATGGAGAATGACCAAGCTACAGGATTGTCAGTTATATGTTCAGCTTGCCTGCAGCTAAGGTGGGAAGCATACCGGATAAAGGACCTGGAGAAACGAGCCAATCGCATGCGGGATCTTACGGTATTCATTCTCTCCAGGTTCCTTGGTATCAACAGACTGCCCGAAGCAGAGGTCACATAGCACATCCAGGACCAGATAGTCGCATGCTTCAGACATTTTCCTCGGAGTTGACCAATTTGTACCATCTCCGTCAATGAGGAGCTCACACCAACGTGTTACATGCTTCACCAGGAATGGCTCCATTGAACGAAGTGATTTCTCTGAGAAGACAGTATTCAGAACCCGCCTTTTCCGAGCATGGAGGTTGGGATCGGTCCCGGTGATAGTACTCGTGTCATGTTTGTTCCGCGTCATCATATCGTAGAACTTGGCGCGCTTGACATTCGCTTTGGCGTTGAAGACATCTCGGTAGGCCTGAGGGGTTCTAAAGAGAAGGCCGTCGGGACGAAAGCGGATCACATCCCCATAGATCTCGTGATTGTGCGCAATCCAGATATGCCGGTTACCGGTTAGAGACCAGTAGAAATCTGGAAGAGCAGAGACTCTTGCGAACAACGGGCCGGGATACTTTGCCAACGGGCTAAAGTACAAGTTATAGATCGCAGAACCGATAAGCTAGGAAGGCGTTAGACTTCGTTTATTTGATTGGGAGTCAGTCCTTACATAACAGATTGCGAGAAGGATGATAACAGCTGCCCAATGGGCGACCATCATAGCAAGTACTGTGGCCACGATCATTTTAACTTTGATGGATGAGCGTTGATAACTGCTGACTTGTTCTGGCGCCCACGCCTTTATGATAGGCACAGTGTTGGACTCTCAAGCAGAACACTACATTAGCGTACGGTAAAAGCCGAATCCGACTATGTATTAGGTTCATGCCCTACATACACCTATACCCTACCGCTTACAGCTGAATTTCAGCTCCCAGTTTCCCTTCGCTTCGTATTATTGTCTCAATTACGGCGATGTCCGTATGCCTGCGCCAGCCACAAACATGTTTGTGGCGGGTCTGGCATCCTTGCATGGGAACCCAATCACCGTTAACGACCTGATTCTTCAGCATATTTCGCAACAGCTGAGATGCGTTTCCATTATCGACGCAGAGGACGTCTAGCAACTACCGGCCGTATATAAATATCCGCTGCTCGCTGGGAGGGAACTATAGGGGTTGCACATTCATTAATCTCGACCGCTTGGAGACCACCGATCCCAATATGCTGCCACCAGAACCAAAAGCATTACATGCGGACCAACCGGATCAGCCGGACCAAACTCTCTATGACTGGGTGTGGCAGTCACCATCACCTACTCTGGAGCTGGCTCAATCGCCTTTGTTCAAACTATCAACACGTTTCCTGCCCTTGGAAGAGCGCACTAGGCTCACATACGAAAGAGCGAAGAAAATTTGCGATGCATACAGTACAGCCCTAACCTTCCCTGCCCCTCCATTCCTAATGACCAGCTAAACAAGACTAGGTTTGACGGTGGAAGATATTTTATCTCTCGGTCCAAAGTTTTGGAAGCTACAGACGGACCCAATCGCTGCAGTTGACGGTGGAGCTTTGACTTTGATTAGTATTCAGTACAACCTATTTGTGGGCACTGTGGCTCCATTCGCAGCTAGCCGGCCGGACCTTCAGTGGATCCTGCAGCGTGCCTTGAGCTTCGAGATTTCGTTAGTACCGCCCTCATAGAACATAGCCACTCACTAGCTGATCAGGGCTGACTCGAAGGAACGCCTCAGAGCGCAGTTTATGCTCACCGAGGTTGGCCATGGGCTAGACGCGCGAAACTTAGAAACGACCGCGACACTCTTGCCAGATGGTGGTTTCGAGCTCCATAGCCCTTCCTGGGCAGCTGCAAAGTTAGTGGTCTCATATATCCTTTTCAATACATGTCTAACTCAAAAACACAGGTGTATGCCACCGACGACACCAAGAAGCGGGCTTCCCGTCGTTGCCGTTGTCATCGCCCGACTGATCGTGGAGGGTGAGAACTATGGGGTCCGGCCATTCCTAGTTCCCTTGGGAGATGGCCGCGAGATGTGCAAAGGCGTGGTTGCAAAGTGAGTATCCGATCTTGTCTCCTCCTCCCACATGAGTATACTGACCGTTTGGATGGAGAGCCCTACCTCCACGCGCTGGTGCTCATCTAATCGACCACTCGCTCACCCTTTTCAACCGGGTTGTGCTGCCCAACTCTGCTCTCTTGGGGAGCCTTGAAAAGCCACGAAATGAACGGGATCACTTCTTTTCCACGATCCACCGCGTCTCAGCCGGGACGCTATTCCTGTCGGGTGCTTCCATCCCTTCCCTCAAACTCGCAGTGTACAATGCGGCCCAATTCAGTCTGCGACGGAGGGTCACAGGCCACGACGGAAATCCAATGGCCGTCATAAACTTCCGCACCCAGCATCTCCCCATCCTCCACGCAGTCGCCCAATACCATGTACTCCAGGCGTTCCTCGTACAAGCTGCGACCATTTTCCGCAATAGAAAGGTTGATCCGCGCGTGCGCCACGCCGTCGCGACTGTCTTCAAGGCTGTTGCCCTGCAACACTTTCAGAAGAGCATTAAAGCATTGAATGACGGATGTGGTTGGCATGGATATTACGAACATAATCAAATTCTTCAATTAGAAGTAAGTAAACTGAACCACTGTTCGTGCAGAATGCTGACGATCAACTTATAGCTGGAATTCCGAGCAGTAGGGACCGCAGAAGGCGACATCAGGGTCCTTGCCATTCGTACGTTTCCTGCTGTCTCCTCTTGATCTTAGGTCTTGAGCTTCGTGCTAACGTGGATAACCACATTGCAGGACTCGCAAGCGAGCTACTGATCGGCCGCTATCAGCTGCCGCCCCCTAAAGACCCCAACAGCACCGTTGCTCGGCACGAAGCCGCATTGTTGACAGAGGCAAAAAATCATCTGATAGAATTTGGCGGCATGCATCGAAGCGAAGACTTTAACCGCAATATCCTCCCGCTCTCGCTTCCACTGATCCAGGCCATTGGTCATCGAATGGCGTTGGAAGCAGCAAAGGAGACAAACATCGACTCCATGCTCTGCGCTCTCTACGAAAGTGGTGTTATTCTGGAAGATTCCGCGTGGTACGCAGAGCAGGGAGGCATCAGCCGGAGAGCGCAGAGGGAGACGGAAGCCCAAGCTGCCGATGCATTACTCCCAGACTTAGAGAAGCTCGTGTACGAAACAGGAGCGGCGCCGTACAGCAGTGCGCCCATGACTTCCGACCGGCTATGGAACACATTTGTGTCCGAGCTGGACGCTTTTTCTGGGGAAGCCTCCTATGACATTTGGGCTTCTTCTGTTCAATCAACAGACCTATAGAGTGAAGTGGACAGATGCTGACAGAAGGTGGACTGCATCGAATGGAATCCCCTGGTATGTACCTTAGCAGAACATTAGCATTGAGAATAAGCTTTAATTTCAGGTGTACTTCAACTGTCTTCGTATGGCCAATATGGATGCACACATAGGGGTAACTGACGTGAAGACCCTGCCTTCGGCTGTGTCAGGAAAGAGGGGCACGAAGCAAAGACTGAGAACAATTGCTTTAAGTTTGAAAGTTCAGACGAGCCAATCCTTTTGCTCATGAAACTCTTGAAGGTGGAAGGCCAGCTCTTAACACTACTATCATTGAATTTGCTTTTGTAAAAGGGATCTAGAAAATCAAACGTGCGCGGAGACGCTCGACGAGTCTCTGAAAGTCTTTCAATTTTGATCTGGTCTAGTGACTCTAAGAGACACGGGCCACGTGTATATGCATTAAGGCTGTCGGAACAAATATCCATCCATAAAAGGACTCGGCTTAGATTACTAGCAGAAAAGCGTCGGCCGGGAGCAGATGAGGCTGGCTGAACCTGGGCAAACAAACAGTTCTCCGAATCCCGCGGCGTGTTGCTGCAAACCACTATTTTCTCCCGGCAATATATTTTTTAACCACAAAATGACCAGGCCTGAATAGTACAATGTACTCCAGAAACACGAGGGCAGTACTGTACTAATCATAGATTCGCAGTCGCGCAACCGATTCTAGAGATGGTGTTATCAATCAGCTCCGAGCCTCCGACCGAACCCCTCACTCGGGTTGTTCCGCTCCGACTCCCCCGCCAGATTACGAGAGTATGCGATTGATAAATCATTATCGCCACCCCTGATCTTTGCGTCACTCAACCAGCCTATCTGCCTCTGCAGACGTTGTACACCATGCGCTGCGACAACGGTGCCAGTCGCACCATTGGCGCGACAAAAGGTACGCACAAGACAAATCGTGGCGTCCGTCCATTGAAAAGATAACCGGCTCATTTCGCGCAGTATGGGCGACCCTGATCACAAACACAAACTACCTCCCGGGCGTCTTCACCCTCGAGTACTCACTCCGAAAAGCTGGGTCGAAGTACCCGCTCGTTGTTCTCTACACGGACTCCTTCCCCGCTGAAGGACATGCCGCCGTCGACGCCCGCGGACTGCCGAAGCAGCGTGTCCCGCATCTCCTGCCTTCCCTTCCGAAAGAATATACCAATGATCCTCGATTCCATGATACATGGACGAAACTTACCGCATTCTCGCTGGCGGAGTATGAACGGGTGGTGCTACTGGATAGCGACATGGTGATCATGCAAAACATGGATGAATTGATGGATATGGAGCTGGATGCGCCGGAATTAGGCGGGAAGGGAAACCGGGTGTTTGCGGCTAGTCATGCCTGTGTCTGCAATCCGCTGAAGAAACCCCATTATCCGAAGAATTGGTATGTCCACTTGTCCCAAGAGGTTCAATGAATGATTGGAGCCGGATTGACAGAAGACTTGTACAGGATCCCGGCCAACTGCGCGTTTACATCACAGCATGCCACTCCCGACAAGGCCCAGATAATCGGAGCCCCGTCAGACCGTGGACTTGGACTCTGCAACTCGGGCCTCCTCGTCATCAATCCGTCGAAAGGAGTCTATGATAAGATTCTCGACCAGCTCAACTCCCCCGCAACACTGAACTATGCCTTCCCTGACCAAGATCTTCTCGCCGACGTCTTCCACGGCCGGTGGGTCGGCATCCCATACATATATAATGCACTCAAGACATTACGGCGCAAGGGTGTCCACGATGCTATCTGGAGGGATGATAAGGTCAAAATTGTTCACTATATTCTCAGTCCGAAGCCGTGGGATGAGATTGACAGCGCTGCGGAGGGCCAAGGGATGGGAAAAAGGCGGACGGCGAGTCTGGACCCTACACATGAGTGGTGGTGGCGGGTCACGGACGAAAGGCGCGAGGATGAGCAGAAGAGAGGTGTGGCTGATATGTTCTAGCGCTGAGATACCCGTTTGTTTCCATACGATAGAGTAATTATAGATTTATTTACATTGTGCATTATCTGGTCGACCATTTGACTTGTCTTCGCAAGTCAGCAATGTGGCATATCTAGACTCAGCGGTAGGATGCCTAAACTTGCCTCGGTCTGTCAAGTAGGGATTTGCTCTTCGATTTAGTGGAATTGTATCTATAGAGTTCGTCCCATACAGTGAGGTTCTCGATGTCGCAACGACTCTAGATCTAGACAATCGAGCAAAACGGACCTTCTTCAACCCCGGACATGTCCACACACAGCTTATCAATGATTCTTCAAATCCTGAGATAAACCATGGACGATGCTCCGTTCCCAAACGGCGCGATCGCACCCAATATCAACATCCAGAGGTTAATGAGATGCTTCTTGTGCAATAATGTCCTGCCCTTTTTGCACGGAGCAGTAAACCCTGAAGATCATAAAACCAGACCTGTTGGGATACAGCACGTAGTAGTTCTCGATTGCTGCCATTCCTGAGCCTACAGTCACTGCATCAATGCGGGAGACATCTCAAAGTTCGATCTGAGCCGGGCAGTAAGTGTAATCTGAGAAAAATTGGGCGCGTTCCTCACTGTGAAGAGGCTGTGGAGTCGTCTCCGCCTGACGCTTTCGATCCCTCCTTGAATTCGGTGAGTTCAAAACCCCTCAGGCGGTTCTGAACGTCCTGAAGAATTGGCTGAGTAAGGGGAACCAGACTACATCCATGCAGCGCAAGTACATGACGTTCCGCCGTGTGATAGCTGTACCGCGGGTCGGGCAGATACGTTTCTACAGCCGTACAATCACAGTAACGCACAGTTGAGGTGTTATGTAGTATGCTTGTAAGTTGCATAAGACTGACGTTGGGAACAGATGTCGCTGGGAGAGGCGGAAGCTTACCACCAGCGTGAAGCTGTTTGATCAAAAGTCCCAGACGGAGAGCGTCACAGACATCTGAACAATGTTTGCGACCATCGCGTAGGTCGGTGATCAATTCATAGGACATGTCAAGTGCAGACTTGACGCCATCCCGACGGTGCTCCTCAATTTTATCTGATGGGATATCGGTAGTTAGAAGAATAGGTTTCGACCAGGTCAGCGTGTCAAGGCATACCCAATATTCGCAGGGGAATCGGTAGGCCGTCCGGCTCGATCCGCTGTTGGCTCTGGGTTGCAGCAATTTTTGTTGCTGAGGTAAATGCCGAAGGTTGTTGAAAGACCCAAGAAATGAAGATCCAGGAGACGATGTCCTTGCCATATGTAGACGGCATGCTTCCGAGCAATTTGTCCATCCATATTTCGGCCATCACGTCCACGACTTCATGGCACTCGTAATAATCCACGAGTACCGCAATCTCAACCAATTTGTCCAGAGTGACTTCGCGGGGGACCTTACTACCGCGTCCATGAATGATATTCATGAGGATCAGCATAGCATCTACATCCTCGCATTCTGACTGAATCTCGAAGCGTTCCCCAGCGGCAAGGTTTCGAGATTCCTTCCATGCGCCAGTAGACATTCGTCTGAATACGGGAGATGCAAGCTTCATATGTTTGGATGACGCTCTTATGCGTACTCGTCGGTCTTCATTAGAATCTTCTTTTGCCGGCTCGCCATTCCCCTCTGTCGAAGCTGACTGATCGCCAGTCCCAGAAGTTTGAGGATCTGGTGCGGGGTCCTCATTGCTGGATTTCGGTTTGACATTGCCATCTGCAACAGATTTCTGATCCGTGATTATTGAGTAGACAAAGTCTACATCCCCATCGGGATCACAGATGTGGAGTGTTTCTGACATATCGGGGTTGAACCATATATTGGACACTTGGGTCAATCCAGTGGTAGAATAAGATTATTTGCGGGTTGATGATTTGCTTGTCCCATGGCTGGCTTCTGAGGTAGCACGTGACTCTGGTAGTTCTGGGTGGATTCCACCAATGACATTGAGGGATTGCTATCTAGTTTTACCAACACAGTATGGTGAATCAAGATGGACCATCAAGCAGTGATGCCTGCAAAGCCTTCTATTACCGGCCCTTGTCCAACGCCTTCAAGGAAGCACAAGCCAGTCATGTCTGTCCTTTCATGGGACGATTATTGTCAACGATTATCCCATTTCGAGTACCTGAAGCCTCATGATTCAGCTCAAGCTGCCTCCAGCCGAATCATGATCGACCATCGAATCACCTGCGAAATGTGCTCGATCCTGCTAGGTATGCCGATGCCGATACAGCTTCTACCGTCTTACGGCACCTCCTTGAACTCTTCAAAGCTGCACCCTCTCATATGGTAGGTCATGTTGCTCAAGATAGGCTTTATCATAGACTGCAAGGTGCAAGGATGCTCCGAGTGCTGATGCTGATGGTGATGCTGGCCGTCCAAGTTTAATGTAATGTCGCACCAAGCTGGGCTCTTGATGTTGACAAGAAAGTGATATAGTTGGTCCAGACTGAAACTAGGCGTAGTGTCTTCAAGTATATGCGTTAGGAAGCCGTGTGTGTGGAGTTGTTTCGTGAGAGCACCAAGGCGGAAGGAGTCGCACTCAAAGGAGCATGAGTTTCGACCATCTCGCAAATCAGTCAGCAGAAGGCGAAGAGCCTCTAATGTACCCTTCATGCAGTATTCACGTCTCTTTTCAATTGCATCTAAAACATTGTCAGAACTCTGCATCGGGTCTCATTTGATATAAAGACGGTTCACTTACTTATAATCCGATGGTGAATAGGCAGACCAAGGCTGGAGATTGGCCCCTGGCTCTGCGCAACAGCGCGATATGTTGCAGATCGAAATGGGTCAATGAGTCGGAAAACCCAAGAGATCCAAATCCACCGAACGATGTCGTCACAAAATTCTTTTGCCATTCCAGCCTGTAAGGGCCGCATCCACAGGTCTAATGCCAGCTGAATAGCCTTGTGGCAATTGTAATAGTCCACGAGAATAGAGATTTCCGTTAACATTTCAAGGCTCACCTTGCGAGGAACTTCCGGGCCATGTCCATGAATAGCGTTCATCAATATCAGCATAGCGTCCATGTTCTGCCAGTCCATCTCCATTTCCATGTGTCCCACGCGAAGGCCCTGAGCTTCTTTCCACAGACCATGGAACATCTTCTCGAAGACTGGCGAGGCCAGAGAAAGGTGTTTTGACGAGACTCTCACCTTTACCACCTTCCCATCGTCTGGGGTGTCGGTACTTTGACTGCTGACCTGCTGCTTAGATTTCCGGGCTTTTTTACCAGCAACCGAATGCGAGGCCCTTTCGACCGAGCCACCAGTGACCTGAGCCGATTTGGTGGACTTGTGCGGGACAGCCTTGGGGCCCGAAGATTGATTCGCAATATCTGGATCAGTCCTGGTAAAAACGAAGATGACATCTCCGTCAGGATCCAGCTCGTAATAGTCTTTCGTCGTACTCGTCATACTGTGAGTGTCTAACTGAGCTAGTAAGGTGTCGGTCTTTGATGGTCAGCGTCTGAGCTTGGAGACAAGTGAGACTTTGAACCTGTACCTTTCAACACCTACAAGAATTCTGGAGTGGTATTCGCGTTTCTCGACTTGAGGAATGCTGATCTAAAAGAAGCGCCTGCAATTGTTATGACTTGTGGATGGAAAATGACGAAATATGCTTGAAAGCAAGAGGAAAGGTTGGATTTGAGAAGAAGATGAATGTGAGTGAAATGTGACCAGAGAGGTCTGTCAATTCACTGTTCTCGCACTCCAGGGTCATCTTTTGTCTTCTTGAGAGCCCACGGAGTTTTATTCAACACTCCCTTCTTTACTTTTTCACCTACAAGATATCTAGGTACCTTTCTTCCCCTGAACATCACATACTGTCCCTGATGAGCAGTGCCTTGCGATCTAGGACTATCATCATTCCCATGGTTCTTGCAAAACTTAATGTCGATTGTTTGAGACTTCACTAGAGTCTATCACATGGAACAGCCTTGCTTCTTACGCCCTGGCACCATGGACAATGACCCTTACACACTCGACCCAAACGGCGATGTGATGCTCCTATTCCCCAGTGGCAATAAAGCCTCTCCTAGACAGAGCGTGGAAAACGGAAGCCAGAGCTTTCCTTTAGGAAGTCCGACCACATCCCTTATGATCGACGCATCTGCCCCTGCACCAGACGCCCACGCTGCTTATACCATATCGGACCCAGCAACTCTCTCACGCCAACCGCCAACCTCTGATGTTAGTGACGCGAACGAAGAAGGATATATGGAGAGTGATCTCGTCGGCATGCGCGTCTCTTCAAGACATTTGGCCCTCGCCTCTCCCGTCTTCAGCCGCATGTTCAACGGCAACTGGTACGAGGGCCGCGAGATCCGCTCCGAAGGCATTGCAGTTGTCGTCATGGACATTTGGGACGTTGACACCACGCTCATCATCATGAACATCATGCATGGCTACGCACCAAAGGTCCCTCGCAAGGTTGATCTGGATACTCTAGCCAAAATCGCTGTGATTGTTGATTATTACCAGTGTCGTGGAGCTGTAGAAGTCTTCGCCGATATCTGGATCGATCAGTTGAAAGGTGATATGCCGAAGACTTTTGGAAAGGCGGTTCTTCAGTGGATATGCATAGCATGGGTTTTTCGCAAGCAGACCGAGTTCTCCGCAGCTACGCGAGTTGCCCTCGTCGAGAGCCCTGGTGTGGTGCAAACATATGGACTCCCTATTCCTAGCAGAATGATTGGTTCGTATCACCTTTGAAAGCTACCTCAGCTATATTTCTTTGCTAATTCAGGCCGCAGATACAATCAACGAGTCTCGACAGCAGGGCATCAGGGACGCTCTGGCCGCCATCGATCGAGTAATCGATGACCTGAGCTCTTCAACGCACCGATGCTCTTTCGAATGTAGTTCAATGCTTCTTGGTGCATTGATGAAATTCTTGCGACTGTCCAATCTCATCTTTCCTGATCCAAGACCTCCTTACGATAACCTGAGCATTGGATCCCTGACCAGAAGCATGGTCCTCTTTGCTCGATCTCCGCTCTGGGAGGCCAGGTTGTCGACAAAGGGGCGCCCTGAATGGCACAGCTGCAGACTAGGAACACTCCTGGAACCTATTCGCCAGGATATGGAAAGCAAGATGAATGGATTGAAGCTGGAAGACTTTGAATGAAGATGGAGCGTGGGTAGATGCTGCAACTGTGTTCTAATGGTTACCATTTGGCTTGGTCAAAACTGAATCTGACGTTTGAGTACATTAACATATTATTTCTTCAGAGTTTCTAGTTTGAGATGGTATGCCTTGCTCAGATTGCAAGAGAGACCAAGTCCATGAAATAGAAGCATACAAAGTGATTACTGCACCTGGTAATGGCCTCCTGCTGGTTTCCTTCTCCTATGACAACGTTCATATACGTACTGGAGCGGTATCTCGGATTTTCTAACCTGACTCCCGCCCGAAACTCTTCATCTTGGTAAATCCTGACTGAACACGTACTCAAGCTTCTAAGATCCTTTATCTTGTTCTCCCTTGTCTACGTGAAGACAAGCACAGCCATAATGGCACAGATACCACCTCCAACCCTGTTCGTCTCCCACAAACTGAAAATCCTTCAGTTCGAATCCCGTATGTCCTCCATCGATTCCCAAATGCATCAATGCGTGGCTTGATGGAGCAATCATGGTACTGATCCCGAACATGTCAGTGCCTCATTATGATTGGTATTCTGAATACTCGGTCAGAGAACACTCACTGGTCGTCTGGCTGATTTAGGCCAGTTTCGACGAGTTCTAGAACTGACACAACCCAAGCCACACAAGCAACCCAAATTAAAGTTAGTCCTCAGTGCACAATGAAACGGATATTAGACCGTACCCGACTTAGTTAGACCGCAACGGTGAGAAGGTTTGAGGGAAGAGGTGGGTCAATATAGAGTTCACAAGGCGCCGGTGGTACACTACACCAGGGCGGAAGACTGCCACGTGAGATACAACTACACTCACAAAGACAAACTCATAACGCTAGAACTCGAGATAGGCATCAAATCAATTGCACTCTATATATCTTGATCAAATTTATTGACATGAAGTTTTGCAATTTGGTATAATCATCGTTGGTATAATCCTCGGCATAATCGTGAGCCGTATGAGTCGTGACTCGTAAAAACAAGGCCTGCCTCGATGTGTTCCTGACAACTTTCATATCCTCCAGGGGTAGAAAACGAGCGTAAAAGAAGGAACGAGGAGATGTTCATGGCCAGCACACAGAGTGGCGAGCGCGCTTAACCCAGGGTGAGGGTGAAGGCGGCGCCGGTGCCGCAGGCACGAGTGTTGTGGTCATCGGGGAACTGGTAGGACTCGGCGCAGTTGACATCGCCCGGGGCGCAGATGGCCGTGGGGCAGCTGGCATCATCGATGGAGACGCCGAAGCCGGCGGCGACAAGGGGAGACTGGGGGGAGAGGTTGATGGAGGAGAGATCCCAGAAGAGGGTCTCGCCGGCCTCGGTGTACTCGAACTGGAGGACGGAGGCGGGGTCGGCACCGGTGGATATCTTGATGGAGACGCCGCCGCCATTGGGGTTGATGCGCCAGGTCTCGGTGTAGGAGCCGCCGATGGGGACGGTCTGCATCTCGCTGCTGGTGTCAGAAACGGACCAGAGATAGACATCCTCGCTCATGTTGTTGACGATCTGGACGCCGCCGCTGGGGGCGCGGGAAGCGAGAGGGAGGGCCGAAGCAGTGAGAGCGAAGGCAGCAGCGAGGCTGAAGATCTTGGAGAAAGACATGATGATGGTGTTGGTTGGAAGGAATGACAAACAGTCTGTTCTACAGAGAGCGACGAAGTAAAGGACAGTGGAGGATCAACCTCGAGTCAAAGTGTCAAAGGAATGAATGACTTTGGTAGTGCTGAAGGATGGAAAAGACTGAAACATCCTGAGGGGACATGGCCGAATTTATCATCTTCAGTGAGCGATGGGAGTGGGCCATCTGCAAGGCGTTCGAGAATCTTTTAGGCACAAAACATCAGAACGCCTCAAAGCCTAAGCCTTGAGGGGAAGTGAAAGCAGAACCCATTGTTTGTTTAGCAAGAGGTGATTGGACGCCACGAGATTGGATATAGATTCAAGAAACGGTGTGCCTGACCCATCGCACGAATCATATTGAAAGGATCAGTCCAAATCTATTGCAAGCCCCACTGGCAGTCAAAAATTCTCAGTTAGCGCCGGTGCCAAACGCCATGAATGGTCCGGATGCCAACGGCACTTGGCTGGAAGATGAGGATATCGCGAAGTGGAAGAAAGGGTTTTCACTTTTGCCCCCCATCGGCCTCATCCAGTTCTTATGTTCCAGTGTCCTTGCTACGAATCACATGTCATCGGCGACAGAGAGAATTTTCCAAGACGCTGGCCGTGGCCTGCGCCTGGAGACTATGGCCACTGAGTTTGGTGCTCAGGCACTCAGAAAACAACGAACACATCACTTACTTTATACCCTCTCTCTTTATGTGTTTCATGCAGATACAAAGAACCCCGCGGACATATCACATCCTACCATGACACGTCCCATGGAGGAACCTGGACAGGGAACAAAAGAGCGCCGCCAGGCACTGGAAAACTCTGAAAATTAGAGTTCAGGAACACAGTCAATGCCATGTGTTCCACGGATTGCTACGTCATTTGATGTCTTCTAATTGGTCATTACAAACCATTTTGCTCTTTCGGGCTAGACCAGGTCCTGTTCCACCGGCAGTCTAGACCACAGCCGTGGATTGTGTGCTGGTTCCAGCCAATTACAATTGTTATTAGTGACCTGAAGGAGTTTAGCGAGGTACAACACTGAAGCATGCACAACTGCCCTTCCGTCAAGGTCTGCGGTCTGCCAGTGGCGATAATCGTGTGATTCTGTCGGGCTTCTGGCCCACTTCAGCCATTTCAACGAGATGCCTCACTTTCCTTTTCTGCAGGTACCAGCGGTCCGTGGGTGAGATGAGTCAGCATCCTAAAACCGACTGCGCCCATCCACGGGCCGAACCTGATTTTTCAGCACAGTAAACGGTGCTATGGCACCCACCTGGTCCGACGTCTATTGGGTAACCAGTGCCTGTGATAGTGGCTGCTTCACCAAGAACCTGGACACGGTTGACTGGGTGCATCTGGCGGTCCCGCGGATTGAAATGTGTCATGTGAATGCATCTACGAGGCTATTCCATGGACGAAGGGGAGTCCTCCAGGATTTGTACATTAGTGAACCAGCCATGGACTAGAACTCATCTGGCCCAAAGGAGGACACCATCCTGGTTACTCATTGTTCTAGATTCCTTGGCGACATCTTTAACATTCAGGGATGGACACGGGTCTCTCTACGAACAAACAAAGAGTAGAATAAACTTGCGCTATCTGAGTCTATTCATTGTCTACAGCCCTGTAATCATAGTGACAACCACGGAAAAAGAGAAATGAGACGCCTAAACTTAAAATGCCGCACTTCTTACCTCCGCATCACCGTAGGCTCGTGATATCTTGCAAGCCTGGCAATCAAGTCACCAACCGCTTTCGGCTTCTCCTCGGCTGGATAATGACCAGCACCATCTAGCCACATTCCATGGGGCGCCCAGTCAGCCATGACCCGCGAATCAACAGCACGCGCAAGAACATCCTTGCAATCTTTAAACAACGGATCCTTCTTCCCAAAGACAACAGCAGCATCCAACTGGCGCGCTCTCTCGCTAGATTTCCAGAAGCCCCGGATCTCGTCGTCGCGAACAGAAAGTCGCGCCTGAGCAGTTAGGTTATCGAACTTGGACGGTCCGGCGAGGCCCTCAAATAGTTTCCACAGCCATGTGTATCGGAGACTTGTCAGGACTACACGGGGCGTGACGGGGGCCATATGCGAGAAGCGGTAAATGCTTGCTTTGGCTTTTCTGGGGAGATTCCTGTAAGGCGCTGCGTAGCCGGCGACGTCCTTCTGTGAGATGCTTGGAGAGATGAAGCGCATGACTGCGGATTCGGGGATACACCCGCCGAGAATCCTGGTTGTCATGACCCAAATTGCGTACAGGAGGGCGTGATGCATGCTTATCTCACTGAGGCGGGGAGGAAGGAAGGTGTTCAACAGGAAAAGACTGGTGCAGGCTGATGTCGGGAGGCGAGGTAGTGTGCATAGAGCGACACAGCTGGACGAGTCAGTAAACAGGAAATACGACGATGGGTGGCAGACTCACCCTCCCCAGTCGTGAGCCACAAGAGTAGCATTCTCAAGACCAGTCGATTCGAAGAATTGCTTCAAGGTACGCATGTGTAGCTCGAAGGTGATGGCTTCTGGACGGACGATCTTGTCACTACGACCATGTCCGAGCCAGTCCAGCGCATATACCTCGTGGCCTCGTTCCACGAGCGCGGGAAATACCTACGTATCGGTCCTCAGCGGGGCTTGATAGCAGTGACAAAATGGACAGGGACCTACATTTCTCCACATATAGCTCCAACCCGGATTACCATGCAGAAAGACGATGGGCCGATGAAAGGCCTTGTTATCCGTTGCGATGCTGCGATAACTTGGCTTCAGATGAACATATCGGGCCGTCGCGCCGCATACGGTAAACTCCTCCACATTGTCCCTCCACGGCATATCGGCCATCCAACCTTTATCCTTTTGGTCGGTCCGAATGATTTCATCATCTTTGAACTTGTATTTTCCCTCCAGCTGCGATTGAGCTAGCGCGTCTGCCCGCTTTCGGTATTGCTCCGCATCTTTCATAAGCGTTATCCATCCATTCGGGAAGAGTAGCCGCGGTGCATTCCACAGAATCGCAGGCAAGACGCTATATGCGAGGTGCAGAAGGTAGAGTGGAAGGAGTGCGGAGGCCAAGAAAGCGCGATTGATCGTGAAGGATAGTAGGAAGACACTGAGGTAGCCCCAGGCTGACAGAACCTCGGCAATTGATGCTGTGGCCAGCTCTTTGACCTTGCTGTATGCCGAAGGCATCTCGGCCGGAGGGTTGAACCGCTAATGTTCCGTGGAGTCGTGTTGGGTTTGCGGCGATGCCGTATGACCAGTTCAATTATTGGGATAGAGTGTCGCTTTATTGCAGGGATGTGCTTGATTGAGCAAACTGAGTTTAAAAGAGGAAAACGCCGAAGGACTTGGTTTTGTGGGTGACGATGGTCCATCACAATGACCGCGTGGTGACATCATCTCCGATGTTGAACCCTGATCGCATCCCGCATCTTCTCAACTCAACAATGTCGAAACTGACACTTATGAAGCTGTTTAAGCGTAGAGAACTGCCCTGGCCTTGTCTCGCACAAATAGCACCTGACGGACAATGTACATATATTGCAGCCAATGACGCGCATACGAGTCGAGCTATATCGCATATTTACGTCAATTTATCCCGTTTCTCCTGTATCCGTTCCACAGTTCGACGTAGACTTACCAATTCGGAAGTATATTGATTGAATTTTAGCTTTTGCTGAGGTCAGAAAGCTTCGACAATGGCTCCTGCGATAAGATCTCGCAGTGTACCACAGTGATGGTCGGAATTTAAATTGTTGATTCTCTCGGTATAAACATCCTAAACTTAGTCCAACTTTACATAACTTATGTGATAAGATCTAGAATGCACTGAGAGAGGGTACTTCGTATATCTAACAATCAAATAATCATTTCGCTATTATGCTGTGCATTAGTAATACATATAACGAGCGACATAACTCTAATCATTATACATACATAACAGAATCGTGACCGAATCGTTAGGTATTAGGAATTAAGATGCAATCGCGCTGGACATCGCATCAAGTCGCAATATTATAAAATCAAACAGGGGATGTACATTCCTTGAAAGGATGACCAACCAATAATGTGGCTTGGCTTGTAGTTGGTCATAGATTTAGGCACGTCGGCGATAAATGCCCGGTAACAGAGTTCGTCGGATTCCCCTAGCACTGAGGAGCTTATGGGTTGGCAGCAGGGGCATCGAGAGGAGCACGGCGGCCCTCGGGATGCTTCTCGTGGATGGGAGTATCACGACGTACGGCCCAAAGGTTCATCACTTCAAGTCCGATAGCGAAGAAGGTGAAGATGCTGATCGGGATTAGCTACTGTATGGCTCATCTGTAATCGGACCACTTACAATGCGAGGAAGATGAACGCTTCGTTAGCCTTCTTGAGCGAGCACCTAGCACCGGGGGGAGCATTGATAGCGCAGTTGTGCCAGTTGTAGTCTTGCGCAGAGAAGATGAACGCGGTCAACCACCTAATCCAGTTAGTATGTTAAGAAAGAAGGTCCAAATGGCGGCGTCACATACAGGTAGGAGAAGATGATGTCAATCGGCAAGACGAACTTGCTCAGGCGAGTCGGCATGAAGGGGGAAAGGAAGGCCGGCAAGAAAAGGGCAACGGACAGTGTCGACTACTGCGAGTTAGCATATGCAGGTTGGTGAATAGAGACGGGTCAACATACGATGACTTCCCAGTAGATGGTGTGCTGTGTATGGGGCCACTTGTTGATGAAGTAGGAGGTAATGCCCATGACGATGACGGCGCTGGACCATTGCATGAAGCGCACCAGCAGGGAGACAGGACGAGTGACTGCTGTTGACACCATGATGCTGAATGTGTTTTGGCGATATCAAACTCCTCGACTGTGGTTGGGATCTGTAATGGCTTGACTGGGTGCTGAAGCTGCCGGCGAACAAGGACTGCTTTATTACTTCTGAGTTTCGAATTGAGCAAGACTCAGTTCGGAGGTATTTCCAGCCCTTCATATATCATGGCCCTGTCC